GGAGGGTCAACGAAAGAGGGGGAGGCCTTCAACGAGATGGATTGACACAGTGGCTGCAATGATGGGCTCAAGTATAGCAGGGATTGTGGGGCTGGCGCGGCATTGGGCAGTGTTTCGTTCTGCTGTGCATGGGGTCGCTATGAGTCAGAAACGACTCGACGGCACTTAACAACAACAACAACAACAGGGAAGAAACTCAAGTGCACAAGCTGATTGACTTCATATGGACTATTTCCCTTGTAGAAAATGGGTTCAATTAGAAGAGAGAGAATGTTGGTGTGTCCTGGTTATCTAGTGCTTCTATAAGAGAAATACCACATGTTGATTGCTTTAACAAACAGAAATTTATTTTGTTACAGTTTAGGTGGCTAGAAATCTGAATTCAGGGTGTTGGCTCCGTCAGCCGTGGAGGAAGGTCTTTGTCTCTTTTGAGCTTCTGCTCCTGGGGGATTGTCGTGTGGCTTGTCATCTCTGTTCCCTCATCTCTCTTCTTTAATCTCCTTGTTTAATCTCTTTTATATGTCAAAAGAGTTTGACTAAAGATAGATCCTATGCTAATCCAGCCTCATTGACATAACAAAGGCAACCTACTCCCAAATGGGATTATAACCACAAGCATAGAAATTAAGATTTACAAGACATATTTTGGGGAAACATAATTCTATCCATAACAGTGTGTGAATGAGCAATGATTTTTAATAAATTGAAAATAATCAGCAGAAGTCTATGTGACAGGGAAGCATAGCAGGACTTACCTATTACAAAAACCTCATATCTGGTCTAGTTTCTATAGCAAATGCTCTCCGTCTCTTGTCTTTACCCCCTTCTCTTAGACTCAAAACAGGTTCATGAACATCAAGTGGGATAAAAAAGGAGAGTCTATGAGCAAAGAAGAGAACATTCTCCTTTGTAAGAGGATTCAGGAAGCTCTGAACTTGAGCCAGGGTTTGGCTAACATGGAGGAAATGGATTCTCTGCAGTGGCAAAAGGTAGCTACTGAGAACCTGAGACAAGGCGGGTCTCTCCAGGTAGAACTGAAGTCTCCAGTGTTTCTGACAGGTAAGGGCAAGCACTGGATTTTTTTTTTTTTTTTTTTAAACTTTACTTATAGGCAAGTGAGATATATTAATATTTAGCATTTAGAGATTATTTGCTATGTATCAGCACTGTGCTCATTTGATCTTCAAAATAACCTATGAGGTAAATACTATTGTTGCTAGGTGCTGTTAAGTTGATTCCAACTACTATATCCAGTTTAGAGCTCAGTAACTGAGGCACAGAGTTCTTTGGTGGCACAAACAGTTAAGTGCCCAACTACCAAGCCAAATGTTGGCATTTTGGACCCACCCACAAGTGCCTGGGAAGACAGATTTGGCGATCTGTTTCTAAATTGTTGTAGCTTCAAAAACACTATGGAGCAGTTCTGCTCTGTACACATGGGGTCCCCATGAGTCAGAATCAGCTCAACGGCAACTAACAACAATGAGAAGAACTGAAGCACAGAGAGGGTAAGTGACCTTCCAAAGGTTACCTAATAAGTAGCAGAACTGGGATTTGAATCCAGAAACACTGACTACAAAGCCTCCTACTGACTCTGGAGGGAACCACAGCACTCAAGTTTAATCAGATTCATGCCACCAAAAAAGCATCACCACTGTTATGCTGAATCCTCTATCCTATGCATATAATAGGGAGCTCTGGTGGTGTAGTGCCTAAGGCATTTGACTGCTAACCAGAAGGTTGGCAGTTCAAACCCACCAGCCACTCCTTGGAAGGAAGGTTGGGCAATCTACTTCTGTAGTGAAACTCAAGGAGGCATTGCTATGAGTCGGATCCGACTCAACGGCAGTGGTTTATGCGTATAATAACCATGTTCCATCTCACCACACTTCCCTCAGTATCAGGTCCAAGGCATTTCTATAAATACATTTTTAACAGCCATCCCCACACAGAACATACTGGCCCATCCCAGAATGTGGGGAGCAGTGGTTAGGAGCACAGGCTCTGCTGTCCCAGAGGGCTGAGGTTTCATTGTAGCACTACTATTTGCTGTATAAAATTGAGCAATTTCCTTAGACCTCAGTTTTCTTGTCTGTAAAATGGGAATAACAACAGCTTGATGTAAAGATGACATGAGATGATTTATGAAACTATTATCACATTTGACAATAATAAGAGTCCAATAAATGGTAGCCATATTATTCAAATTGAACAAACTGCTTTACTTACATACACTGAGGCAGTTGGAATACTACAGTACTTCCCAAACTTGGATCCATAATAAGAAATGAATTTGACATCATGACCCAGGGAACATAAACCTGTGTATGCATATATATGAAAGGAGAATTTCACAAAGCAATATTTATCTTTATTACATAAAATGATGCATTCTGATACTTTCTATTCCATTACGTAAAAGCTGACAAGGACTCACTAAATTTATTATTTTGCATACTAATGAGTCATGACTACATTTTGAAAGACATTGATTAAAGTAGAGGGAAAAAAGCACAAGCTTTGAAAATTCCATTCCACCACTCACTAGCTCTGCGAGCCTGCACAATGTGAAGAGGCTTCACCTCTCTGAGCCTCGGTTCCTCATCGATAAAATAGGGAAAATGGCACCTATTTTGCAAGATTGTTGAGAGGATTCAAAGCAATGTATTTGAATAATAAATAGGTGCTCAATAAATGGCACTTGGTAGATTACACAAAAAACATAATGCCCAACTTTTATAAAACTTCTATAAAACTCAAATATGCACTCCACATATAAACCAAGATGTAGTGGATGTTTGCCCTTTGGAAACTCATGCTACATGGGCATGAGTTTCTTAAATCTAGTATGCACGTTGTTGTTAGGTGTCATCAAGTTGGCTCTGACTCATAGCGACCCTATGTACAACAGAATGAAACACTGCCCAGTCCTGTGCCAGCCTCATGATCCCTACTATACCTGAGCCCATCGTTGCAGCCACTGTATCAATCCATGTCATTGAGGGTCTTCCCCTTTTTTTGTTGACTTCTTTACCAAGCATGATATCCTTCTCCATGGAATGGTCCCTTCTGAAAACATGCCCAAAGTAGGTGAGATGAAGTCTGGCCATTCTAGCCATTCTGGCTTCCAAGGTGCACTCCGCTGCACTTCTTCCAGGACAGATTTGTTAGTTCTTTTAGCAGTCCATGGTACTTTCAGTATTCTTCGCCAACAACACAACTCAAAAGTGGCAACTCTTCTTTGGTCTTCCTTATTCATTGTCCAGCTCTCACAGGCATAAGAGGTGATTGAAAATACCATGGCTTGGGCTAGGTCTTTACATCTTTACTTTTCAGCACTTGAAAAGAGGTTTTTTGCTACAGATTTACCCAAAGCAATGCGTCATCTGATGTCTTGACTGCTGCTTCCATTGATGTTGATTGTAGAACCAAGTAATACGAAGTCTTTGAAAACTTCAATCTCTTCTCCATTTATCATGATGCTGCTTATTGGTCCTGTTGTGAGGACATGTGGCTGTTTTTAAAAAAAAAAAAATTAATTCACCCTCAAAGCACAATGATTGGCAACTACTGATGCTATTCAAATATATGAGCTGTCAATTCTGAATGAAATTCAGAACGAGTTGAGGAAGAAGTGTGCATTATCCCTAAATGCATCAAGTTCTTTGAAGTAATATTAAATGTTTGAAATGCATTTTCAACTTCTCCCCACAATAGATGGTTGTTTTGAAGTACTCAACACTGGTTTGGATGAGTTACTTCTTATATATGTCTGAAACAATTCATAACTCTTTCAAAGTCACATTTCAGTTACCCTAGCATCTCTCAAGCAGAAAACTTCCACAGGTCAGATGTTTAAGAAGGGTAAAAAAATCCTCTCATTCTCAAGGGAAAAGGAATCTTTATTTCCTTGCTCCTATTTGGGTCCAAACCAAAACAAACTCAATGTCATTGAGTTGATTCCAACTCATAGCAACTCTATAGGACAGAGTAGACCAGTTCTTTAAGGTTTCCAAGACTGTAATCTTTATGGAACCAGACTGCCACATCTTTCTCCCATGGAGTGTCTGGTGGGTTCAAACCACCAACCTTTCAGTTAACAGCTGAGCACTTTAACCACTGTGCTACCAGGACTTTTAATTTGGTCTGGGAAAGGTGTATCCTTATGGGACACTTCATTAAAGCACTATTGCTCTATTTAAATATATATATATATATATATATATATATATATATATGGGTATATGGATCTTTAAACCCAGAGTAGAAAACTAAACTCTATCCCTGTGTTTTCCAACTTGACAGACATAACAAAAATGTCCTTTGAGGACCTCTGCTATAAGAATCCAAAGTTGGCCATAGAGAAGATCAGTGATGATTACAGAATATATTGTGAAAAAGTACCTGGAATAGGCAAGTGTTTAAATAATAGATTTGAGAGAACCAGGTAAGAGAGAATCTCCAAACTCAAGGGGCATACACCAAACCAGAATTATGTTGCTGTTGTTTGTTTAAAATGGAGGGATGATCAGGAGCAAAGATCAGGAGCAATCTTTTTCCTCCTACAAAGCCAGAAAGAGGATCATGAAAATATGATACAAATGCAAATTGATGATGATGATGATGATGATGATGATGGTAATGATAATGAGTGCTAATTGCTACCTTCTTATCTGGAGTTCCTGGGTGGTGCAGATTTTTTTGCTAACTGAATGGTTGGAGGTTCGAGTCCACCAAGAGGTGACTCAGAAGAAGGGCCTAGAAATCTGCTTTGAAAAAGCAGCCATTCGTAACATACTACACAAAAACATTGTTGTACATACTACTTTGGCGAATAGCGACTGGGATCTTAAAAGCTTGCAAGCAGCCATCTAGATGCAACAGTGTTTCTGTCTTCATTCAGAGCAAAGAAGAACAAGAAAAATCAGAGACATATGGAAACAGCTGGTCCAGGGGATTAGTAGACCATGTGATTCTCAGCCTATATGACCATGAGACCAGAAGAACTAGATGGTGCCTGGCTACCACTGTCAACCACTTGGAGGGGAATTGGTGCAGGAGTTCCTGGATAGAATGGGAGAACAATGTGGAACAAAACTCAAAATCATATATATATATATATATATATATAAACAGGTTTCTTGGTCTGATAGAGCCTGGTGAGACCCCTGAGACTAGGCCTCTGGTTCCCCTTCAGGTCTGGAACTAAACTCACTCTTGCACCTTCCAGCCAAACAATAGACAGGCATATAGGGTGAACATTTACATCAGATAGATACACTCCTTGGAGTGATCAATTGTGGGAGAACAAAAGAGCAGTGTTTGCACAGGGACATAACTCCCGGATGGGAGTGCATGGGAGGGAAGGACACAGGGAAGAGGTAACTATGGGGAGGAAGTGGGAAGAGAGATGTTACATTGTGGGGAACTGCAATCAATGTTGTGAAGCAAAATGTATATGAACTGCTGTATGGAAAATGAATTTGATTTGTAAACTTCCAACCAAATCACAATAAAAATTAAAATATAAAAGAAAAAGCAGCCATTGAAAATGTTATGGAGCACTGTTCTACTCTGACACATGAGGGGTCACCATCAATCAGAGTCAATTCAATGGCAATTGGCCAGTTGTTACCTTCTTATCTAGTTATCACTGTGGAGTTTTAAATAATGTGGATTTGACTAGGTTTCCTGGAGTCAGAGATTTGTGGCATGAGTTTTGTTTGGGAGTCTTATTGTGAGCAATGCTTATAAGGGAATGAGGATTGGACAGAGGGACATGCTGAACTGTGCAGCATTTACAAGCGAGCTCAGCAGATCCCATGTTGTTGTTGTTGTTAAGTGCCTTCGAGTCGTTTCCGACTCATAGCGACCCCATGCACAGCAGAACGAAACACTGCCCAATGCCGCGCCAGCCCCACAATCCCTGCTATACTTGAGCCCATCATCACAGCCACTGTGTCAATCCATCTCGTTGAATGCCTCCCCCTCTTTCATCGACCCTCCACCCTACCAAGCATGACATCCTTCTCCAGGGAATGGTCCCTTCTTACAACATGACCAAAATAGGTGAGACGAAGTCTGGCCATTCTTGCTTCCAAGGACCATTCTGGCTGCACTTCCTCCAGGACAGATCTGTTAGTTCTTTTAGCAGTCCATGATACTTTCAGCATTCTCTGCCAGCACCACAACTCAAAAGCATCAACTCTTCTTCGGTCTTCCTTATTCATTGTCCAGCTCTCACATGCATACAAGGCGATTGGAAATATCATGGCTTGTGTCAGGCGCACCTTAGTCCTCAAGGAGATATCCTTGCTCCTCAGCACTTGATACAGTTCCTTCGCAGTTGACTTTCCCAATACTACACGTCGTCTAATGTCCTGACTGCTGATCCCAAAGGAAGCTCTAAACCAAAAAACAAACACACTGCCCTCAAGTCAGACCCGACTCGTAGTGACCCCTCCTTGGGTTTCTGAGGCAGCATCTCTAAGGAAGTAGATTGTCCAATCCTCCTTCGGAGCAGGGGCTGCTGGGTTTGAACCACCAGCCTTCTGGTTAGCAGTCAAATGCCTTTGGCATATCCTTCACTGAGGTAAGGAGCTTGGGCATTGACTATGATGGATTCTGAGCTGCATGTATAGTGTTTGTTACTAACAGTGTTGAGTTCTTTTTGTTTGTTTAATATTCGACTGGATATGTAGAGAGTGTGTGTTTATTGTGTGTATGTGTGTATGTGACACACTCCAAGTCTTTAACCACTTTTTATATTTTGTTTTCTGTCTTTTGTTTGTTGATTTGTTTATATAGTTCTTATTTTTTTACATATTTTATATGCAAGTCACCAGTCAGTTACATAGTTTGCAAGGATTATCTTCTCTGTCATGGAAACTTTAATGAACAAAACTTTTTAATTTTAATATAGTCCAGTTAAGATTGTTTTCCTTTATTGCTTTACTCCAAGATCACATAGATATTCTCATGTTTTGGATTTTTTTTTCCTAGAAACTTCTTTGCTTTGCCTTTCTTATTTAGATATGCAATCCAACTGGATCTGATTTTTATGTACAGCATGAGATATGAGTACCAACTTTCATTTATTTTATTTTTAATATGGATGTTCAATTGACTTTCACTATTTGTTGAAAAGACTATGCTTTCCCCACTATTTTGTAGTACCACTCCTATTACAAATCAGATTTCCATATCTACATGGTATTGTTTCTGTACTCTTTTGGATGTTGATCTATTTGTCTATCAAATAGATATTGTTGTTGTTGTTGTTATTGTTGTTATGTGCTATCAAGTCAGACCCGACTCACAGTGACCCCTCCTTGGGTTTCTGAGGCAGTATCACTATGGAAGTAGATTGCCCAACCTTCCTTCCGAGGAGTGGCTGATGCGTTTGAACCACCAGCCTTCTGGTTAGCAGTCAAGTGCCTTAGGCACTATGCTACCAAAGCTCCCCAAATAGATACTACACTACTATCTTAATTATGGTACATTTATAATAAACCAAAAAAAAAAAGCCCAAACTCACTGCCATTGAGTCAATTCCAACTCACAGTGACCCCCATTGGGTTTCCAAGGTTGTAAATCTTTACAGAAGCAGACGCCTCATCTTTCTTCTGTGGAGTAGCTGGTGGGTTTGAACCACTTAACTTTTTTGGTTAACAGCCTTAACCACTATACCACCAGAGCTCCTTACATTTTTAATAAGCACTGATAATTCATATAATTAAATCCCCTACTTTATTTTTCTTATTGAAGATTGACATAAGTTTCTCTTAACCCCTCATATTTAGATATAAATATTAAAAGCAGTTTAAAATTTCCATCATTATGATTACATTAAGCCTATAGATCACTTTGAGGAGAGACTGTTGTTAGGTACCATCAGATTGGCTCTGACTCATAGCAACCCTGTGTACAACAGAACAAAACACTGGATTGTGCACCATCCTCACAATCCCTGCTGTGCTTGAGTCCATTGTTGCAGCCACTTTGTCAATCCATCTTGTTGAGGTTCTTCCCCCTTTTCACTGACCCTCTATTTTACCAAGCATGATATCCTTCTCCAGGGAATAGGCCTTTCTGAAAATGACCAAAGTAAGTGAGACAAAGTCTACCCATTCTCACTTCCGAGGAGTATTCCAGCTGCACTTCTTCCAGGACAGATTTGTTCATTCTTCTAGCAGTCCATGGTATTTTCAGTAATTTTTGTCAACACCACAATTCAAAACTATCAACTCTTTGGTCTTCCTTATTCATTGTCTGGCTTTCACATGCATATGAGGTGATTGAAATACCATGGCTTGGGTCAAGCACACCTTAGTCTTCAAAGTGTCATCTTTATTTTATTTATTTATTTATTTTAAGAGCTTGCTTTACATTCAACATAACACATACATTTAGTTTCATTCCCCATTCGCCATGTCCAACCCTAACCCAGTCTCCTCCCCTCCCTACCCTGTAACCCTCCCCCTGTGCTCCTCATATTTATGCACTCCTGATTGTCCTGCATTTCCTCAGTTTGAATGTTGGTCCTCTGGTGCCCTGTGGTCTATTGTTCTAAGGGATGTATTACCATAGAGTATGTGGGTGTGTCATCTTGGGTTGAGTGGTCTGCATGTACATCTTGTTAACTATTGGGCTGACAGCCCTCCCCTGGGGGTAAGTTTTATTCCAGGCTCCGAATGTATTTCAGGGCCATAGTATTGGGAGTCTCACCAGATTTCATCTGACCAGTAATTCTGGTCATTATTGAGTTTTTGGATTATGTTCCACGTTTTCCCTCTCACTCTATCCAGGATCTCCAGATTTGATCCTTTCCTGAGTGATTGGCATTAGTAGCCAGGCACCATCCAGTTCTTCTGGTCTCAAGGGCCATCATGTCCTAAGGCTGATTGCTTCTAAATGCCTTTGTGGGGTTTTTTTTTTTTTTGCATTCTTCTTCACTTCTGACGCTAGTAGACCATTAGCTGCATCTTAGATGGACACTTGAAAGCTTTTAAGACCCCAGTCACTACTCACCATGTAAGATATGGAGCAACCCTTTTATGTATTTTGTTGTGCCAATTGAGTCTGGTGTCCCCCAGTACTATGGTCCTGAGGTAATAGATCTATTGGATCTCTCTCCCATAGTGTCTGGTTTTCTGTGAGGGATTGTCTTCTACTGTTTCGGTAAGGACTGCAGATATTTCTTTAACACTTTGAAGACATCTTTGCAACAGATTTGCCCAGTACAATACAACATCTGATTTCTTGACTACTGCTTCCATTGGTCTTAATTGTGGATCCAAGTAAAATGAAATCTGTGACAACTTCAATATTTTCTCCATTTATTGTGATGCTGCTTATTGGCCCAGTTGCGAGTAATTTTGCTTTCTTTATGTTAAGGTGTAATCCCTAATGCA